ATCAATTTTCTCTCAAACACTGAAAATCATGATGCTCTATTTTGTGAACAGCCAAAGCTAATATCTCTTCACTTCAGTGCTACAGCAAAAACACACAGAATTCACTCGTTGCTATTCACTATCATCACAACCCTCATTGTTCCATCTTTGCCCTCCCCCCAAATGCAGGCCTTAAAAGTCCTAGCCTTTCCCCATTTAATCCTATTCCTATAGCACAAAGGGAAACATTACAATTTGGAAATTCAAATTGAAATAAATGGAATAGAATTTATTCCCATATATATTCCCCATTTCATTGTACAGAATTATTTTAAATTATAGTTTTAAATAGAAGCTGAGTATATGCCTTAAAAATGAGCATTAAATCCATCTTAGAGATGGTGCCTGCTTTTTACATGATGGGTGTACACCATCTTTAATTTCATTTACATTTCAATCGAACAATAGATTTGCAAAGAAAATGTCTAATACAGACGTAAAAATATTCACACTAGAGCTTCACAATCGGTTGTACAATTGACAAACAGGCCTCTTTTCCCAAACTTTCCAGCTAAGCAAATTTATAAAATGTAATCAATGCAACAAGAAAAACATTTCTCTTTCACTTCCAGGGAAAAGAATATGCAATAAACAGTATAAATGCAGACAGCAGTTGCTGCAAGCCAACCACGATACTCCCAAGTGGCTGTACAGTGGATATGTGCAGTACAAATAAAAGCCACATGTGTTGTATCACAACTACAGTATAATTGTTTGCCCAGCTAAGAGAATGCATGCACTTCCATGCCTTGGGTTATAAAGTGAGGCCTAATTCTTGACAGGTTGATGGAATATGTGCAAATGACCTTGGATTTTGGCAGTACTAAGTGCAGCCAGTGTCTGTGTTCCACTGGTTTGGGGATATTTTCAAAATTTTATTAAAAAAAAAAATTGCCAATTTCAGACTTGGGGGATTAACTGCTCTTGGAGTAAAAATAAGACTCCACTTAAATGTGGGGTGTTCTGATCTGTGGCCATTATTCCTTGTATTCCCTTGCCAGCAAAGGGATACAAAGAAAGGGCTAGTATAAAGGAGTTACTTGTTCAATTTATCCAGAAAATGGGATACTCCTTGAGCATGTTCATTTGTGTTCTGCTTGCAGAAGGTGTCCTTATGTAGGAGTTACAGTAAGTGATCCCATCATCACTCTTCATTCACTAAAACACAAGAAAAGTTCTTCCAAGAAACCAGTACATAGTTGCAATGCAACTTTTCCCTTTAATGATTTAGTTATCAATACTAGTAACAGTCTGCTCAGAAAATGACTCAAAGAAGCTGGGGAAGAAATGTTCAGATTCAAACTTTAAATCACATGCTGAATCTGATTGTTATAAATACCACCCCTGGTTAACAAGACAACATGGGTTTTAACATTTAAAATCCAAAAGCAAGCTAGATGGTTTTAAAACAATTTTTTCAAACGTTTAAATGATCCTATTTTAAATTCCTACAAATTGCTGTAATTTTCTCAAGGCAGCATATAAAATTGGGATGTGCTTTATGTACTTAGCCTCAACCTGAAATCTGAGTGAAAGCGACTAGATCCATACAAGTGGAAAATTTCAGTTCTAGTATGGGAGGTTTCTTTTATTATTCTCTTACTAAATAGCTATTGGGAAAAAAATCAGTGCCACTGGCCTAATGAACTACCTTCTTTTGAAAATTACAACGCACAACTTTTCATGTATGACAACACTGGTTCATCACATGGCATTTAAAGTAAGTCATGGCAGCAAAGGCAAAGGAATCTGCTTTGTTCAGGTAACCAACTAAAGAAATACATAAGTAACTTTCTCAGAATTCCTAAAATGAAACAAGACTACAAAGAAGAATTACTGATGCTACATCCACAGTAACTGAATGGGGCGGCACAGACTTCAGAATGGGACTTAGAAACTAAAAAACGAAAACACAAAAAAAATGAAAAAAAAAAAATAACCACCACTTTCCTGCTTTCTAGACCTCAGACTACTTTTTTTCTGATTAGATTAGACCATAGGCAATATGCGTAGTTTAGTTACCAACATTATAAATTTCCTCTCCTGTTGCTTTGTATCCTTTGATTCCAAATATCTGTATATCACAATGTGTTCAGAAAAGGGTCAAATGGCAGGAATGCCCCAATTTTAAAAAGTCACATCCTAGGTCTGATTTGTAACGTTTTCTTTTATGACATCAGTAGGTACCATTCTGAAGAAGGATCAGATGAACTGCTTTCTTCTAAGGTGGCAGAGAACCAATGGCTTTACTTCACATTAAACCCACCATGACAGACAGAAGGTGGCCATCGCTACATAGAGAATGGATGTAATCCAGAATAATCACAACACAGAAACAATTCCTATGTTGTTAGTGAGAAAGAGAGTAAGTTTTTAAGATCAGGGAGTTATTGTTTTACGGGATCACCTGCTGCAAGACAAGTATTATTTTAATATAAATGTTCTGAGACATACCAATAAGGTTGGCAGGTATATACATATACTGATGCAAATGTAATTTCACTGGACAAGTAGGCAAACATCTAAGCAGTTTATCCCAACCCCCTCCAGCAGAGCACAACCAAGTTTCAAAATTTCAATTTTAAAATTAAAAAGATAAGGTTAAATACACAAGATCAATTTATGTAGTATATATTCACCCTCAGAACGTGCTGAAGATGTTTTGTGTAGTTCTGTTGCACAGAGGGTTCTTTCCCTGAGGGCACATAAGGAGCTCTCAAACTGTTAATAGGTCTCTATTTTGTAACAAAATAGCAATTTCAAAATCTTAAAAAAAAATACATTACCTTCAACATGGAAGATCTCACTATTAAATATCCATGAAATAGAATGGTTTGCATATCCTTTTTGGAATTACAAACAGCAAATAAAGTACATTGGAAGCATTTCAAATGTAATAAGCACATATTTATAGAAAGGTTCTGATATAAATTATATAACAATCTTATTCCTGTAATATCCTAGGCTAATTTATAATGTCTGAAATAAGTTAATGTAACATGGTTTAAAACTCTTGTTCCTATTCATTTCAGGTTACAGAGTGAAATAAATAAAAATGTCTTTGTAGGGATGGGGAGCACTGGCCATGGCAGAAAAGTACAGTACTAACCAAAGGAAATTAAGTCAAGGCTACTGTGCTATTATGCTACAAACAAACATGTTCATACATTTGACTATTAAATAAATGTGTAAGATCTTCCATACTGACACCAGAATATCAAAACTACCCCTTTTGTTTCTCAGGTATATTTACAACTTATCAGTCACCTTATGAGCATGTTCATTAAGACATGTATCAAACACCAGTATTTACTCATTCTGATCAAGAAATTTCAGGGAAATGTCAACCCTCCCGCCCCTGGAAATGTGCACAAAACTTTTTTATCAAAATCTTATCTGATACAATGCTGTGGTTTTGTAAAACAACTAAATAGCTCAGACGACCAATAACATGATCCTGTTTAAGCATCTTGCTAGCAGGAAAAGCCCTTACATACAGTACACCTGGTGAAAGATCAGCTTGGCTTAAAATATTCCAGTACAATTTTCAGAGTAAACAACTTCACAGAAGTTAATTAAAAAAAAATAAAAATAAAACTCAAACTAATCTTAAAGAAACAGAGGAAAAACAAAAAGACAAACTATAGGTAAGATCACCAGGAAGGAATGCCCAGCTTTTGTTTTCAAATGTTGACTGAAATTTAGGTTTCAATAAAGTAACTTCCACAAATCTGGGGCATGGCTAGTTGAACATACTGCATACTTTCAGACGCCAAGTCAAAAACCATTTCAGTCACATTTTAGCAGGGCAGAAATTATTCATGTCTTTAAGTATGAATAAATGTTAGTCAATGTTCTACTATTACATGGTTCATAGTCTTATCAACCTAACAGTCAAAAAACAAGAAAATTAAACCCCAACATGAAGTAACAATAAACAATATTTAACCAAGATAATGCAAAGAACACCCAAATTAATTAGTTTAAGTTAAAAACCCAGCAATACCATCTTGTTAGTCAGTGCAAACGCTACATACAGGGTTTTCTCAAGAAAGCTGAAAGCACCTGATTCTTTTGCCAAGTCATCAGATTCAATAATGTACAGGCTTAAATCTGCATTTTAAAAAACTGCCATTACATTAGTGCATAATTTATCAAAATTGTAAAAACGATTCTGCATAACTTAGGAGAATTTAATATCTAGTACATCAGCTGAAAGACTTAGGCACTTGGTTATATTTTTAATTAATTACTTCAACAAGTAGCCTGTGTATAAATATTAACAAAGCAGAAACTATCCTTGAAAAATGGAAAATTAAAAAAAAATTAAACGCTACAGATAAAAGCACTGCACCACACTCCTACATATAATGCAGTAAAGAAAGCTAGTATATAACCCTGTAAAATTCTATGGTAAGAATGTCTAACTTCACTCTTCAAAAGAAAAAAAAGAAAAAAAAAAAATCCATGCAAAGTCCCATGAAAAAGATAAATAAAGCAGCTGGAATGAGATGGAAACTTCTCTCAGTGAAACATAAAATAGAAATAAATAAGTTAATTAAGTCTACTTTCACTAGATGTATCATTGTAGGATCCTGCTAGTTTAATAACTGAGTTGTTAATTTTCTATAGAAGCCATTTAAAATAGGAAATGGCTCAGTTACTGCACCGGATTGCTACAAACTCATAAAAAGCTGCTTGAAGCTTAAGTTAAATGTTGTCCAAATTCCAATCACTTCTGGAAAGTGAACGTGTTACCCTAGTAAAGTAAATTTTCTTTTTTTTTCATAATGCTAATGCAAGAGGGCTTGAAGTATCAAAGAGTCCACAGGAAATGGATGCCCCCGGTAATATCTTTTTTTTTAAAAAAAATATACATTATATAATATATATTATATATATAAAAAGCTAGTGTAAATGCTTCCATGGTATGGTCACAAATTTGAAAGATGAACCTTCTTTCAGCTGTTAACCATCTTCCCATTTGCAACAGGTTTTAAAAAGTCATTTTTATCTTCAGACATAACATGAGTTTTCAAAATGAGGTTGCCAACACTGACAGGTGTGGTGATGGGGAGGCAACTTGCATTGCTAATAGACACTGGGAGTGGTTGGCTAAAGCAAGAAGTTACCGGCAGAATTGTTTTTTGTTCCTCCCTGAAAAAATAAATATTGAAAACAAATTAGTCTTAAGTGAAAACTTTAAAGAGCAACCACACATGCTTAATGAAAATTGAATCAAGCTTTATGAGCCC